ACCGCTTCGTCGACGTGGTGTGGGTGTGGCGCCGGTGTGCGCGGCGCGTGCGTGCGTGCCGTGCGTGCATGTACACGTTCGTGCGTGCGTGGGTGTGCGCGCGCGGGTGTGCGCGCGCGTGGCGTGCGTGCGTGCGTGGGAACGTAACGTGTGTTGTGCGATACGTGCGTGCGTGGCGTGCGTGCGTCGCGTGCGTGTGCACGTACGACTGTGTGCATGCGTGCGGGCGTGTGAACGTACACGTGCGTGCGTGCAGGCGTGTGCACGTACACGTGCGTGCGTGCGTGCGGGCGTGTGCACGTACACATGCGTGCGGGCGTGTGCACGTACACATGCGTGCGCACGTACACGTGCTTGCGTGCGTGTGCCGTACACAGTGCGTGCGTGCGATGTGCACGGTACACGTGCATGCGTGCGTGCGTGTCCACGTACAGGTGCGTGCGTGCGTGCGTGCGTGTGCACGTACACGTGCGTGCGTGCGTATGGGCGTGCGGGCGTGTGTACGTACACGTGCGTGCGGGCGTGTGCACGTACACGTGCGTGCGTGCGTGCGTGTGCACGTACAGTGTGCATGCGTGCGTGCGTGTCCACGTACAGGTGCGTGCGTGCGTGCGTGTGCACGTACACGTGCGTGCGTGTGTGCGGGCGTGTGCACGTGCACGTACAGTGCGTGCGTGCGTGTGCACGTACACTGCCATGCGTGCGTGCGTGTCCACGTACAGGTGCGTGAGTGCGTGCGTGCATGCGTGCGTATGCACGTACACGTGCGTGGCGTGGTGCGTGTGCACGTCACGTGCGTGCGTGACGTGCGTGCGTGCCGTGCGGGTGTACACGTACACGTGCGTGTGTGCGTGCGTGTGCACGTACACGTGCGTGCTTGCGTGCGTGCGTGCGATCGTGTGCACGTACACGTGCGTGCGTGCGTGTGCACGTACCACGTGCGTGCGTGCGTGTGTACCTACACGTGCGTGCGTGCCTCCGTGCGTCCATGCGTACGTGTCAACGTACGTATCCTGAAAATTTAATTAATTAATTAATTAATTGGATCCGGATCACCACCAAAATGTAATCAATTCTAAGTTACCCCATTTCTGACCTATCCTGAAAATGTTATTAATTAATTAATTAATTAATTGGATCCGGATCACTACCAAAATTTTATCAATTCCAAGTTAGCCCATTTCTGACCTATCCCAAAGAGCTTATAATCATTATAAGCTCTTTGCCTATCCTGAAAATTTTATGACAATCCGTCCATAACTTTTTCAGTTAGGCTGTACACAAACAAACCTATAGATTGATAGATAGATATTCGCTGAGTGCGAGCGTGCAGGTGGGGGAGGACTGTGGTTGCCCCTTAGCCTGTGGTTGCGTGTTTGTAAGTCTACAGCCAGCGCACCTAGCGGAAGTGAACTGAAACGTGCATGTTCACAAACCCACAAACCAACACTCAAACACACGCCGGTGAAAACATATCCTCCGCCAAGCCCTTGGCGGAGGTAACTATGTTATATATAGGCAACTTATCACCCCTCTTATCTGATCTCAATATGGCGGCGGGGACTTTCCGATATAGCTTATAGAGGTAATAAGCAATAGAGGTAGGATTCACATGGGCATGGTTTATCAGTTCACTTACCAAAGGGGAACTCTACAAGGTCGATGAAACCTTGTCTTCCACAGTCTGGAGTGTGAAAAGCTAGGGGTTGAACCATCAGATGACACTTGATTTTGGCTGCTTCCAATCCCTGCTTCATCAGTTTGATGGTTTTGAGCGATACAAATGGATCAAAATGACAGTTCACACCCACAATATCAGCACCTGCAAACAGCCAGGATTAACCACGTTAATATTGATGTTATGGCTAGATGATATAACTGCGGATACTGCGAACAACAACTACTAGCTATTCCGTTCTTGTTTGATGGGATATACTCAGATAGCTGCCTTCATTGTGCAATCTGCCCTTTTCTGCCATCTCCTGAGTAAAAGCTGCTAAAACCAATGGCACATTTGAAAACTACGTTAAATGCCTTGCACAGCAATTGTCAAAATTAGAGAAGAATAATGTTCCATTGGCTATGGTGTGCATGCAGGTCATGCAACATGTAGGCCTACCAGCATTAGCCATGCGAACGGCGCATTCCTCACAGCTTATTCCATGCACATCTCCATCCGGACCAATGCAGAGATTTGCAGCGACTGGAAGCTGGGTCTCCTTAGCAACAGCTATAGCCCATTCTGCCTCCTCAACATGCTCAAAGTACTAGAATGAGCAGATTATACACACACTGGATGTGAGAGTGTTTAACTTGGAAACTGGTATAATGTTGAAAATTCCAATGCACAGAATGTTCGCTTTACAGGAGTTATATATTAAAAGAGCTCTCCCATATCTCAAAATGATATGAATTACATTTGTAATAGCTATTTTGGTATGTTCTAGTTCCGTCAAATTTTCATCTAGCAATTCTCAGTCTAAGCTATCATACCTCGCAAATGATGAAGTCAACTTCATTTTTCACGAACACGTCCATCTGTTTACGGAACTCCTTCTGGCACTCTTCCTTGTTTTTCCCACTCAGATAGGATGGAGTCTGAGACACGCCGCCAGCAACAAGAGCGTCACCCTCATTTGCGACCTCTCGCGAGAGATTGCAGGCTGCCTGGTTGATTGCTGCACCCTGCATGAAGCGTTCAACTTAATTATGCAAAAGTGTTATCGGATCTTGACCCCACCACACATAGCAATGGCTCACCATTTCAAGATTTAATTGACTAAATTGCCATAACATGCATACACACACACACACAGTGTAAATTCAAGATCTGATGACAATTTCATATAAGACATAATAGAAAACTTGTCATATTCTTTGAAAGATTATTCTATTCTCAAATGCATTTGCACACTCTTCGAATAGATCAACAATACTGATATACAGTAATGTACAAAATAATCACACTGATTTCTATGTTGGAAAGTATCTATGGCATATGCCAGCAATAAATGAACTGCATTATATGAGTAATGTTTATATAAGAGAGAGAGAGAGAGAATGAGAGAGAGAAAGAAAGAGAGAGAGAGAAAAAGAAAGAGAGAGAGAGAGAGGAGAGAGGAGAGGAGAGGAGAGGAGAGGGTCAGCGGAGTTAAATGATAGACAAACTTTGTTGATCGGAAGTTTTGTCTTCATTAAGCTCCTGATATATATATAATATGGTTTGTGATATATTATATGATAGATAATATTAGTATAGTGGCGCTGTCGTCCTAAGTATCTTACCAGACTTATGGCACAAGTATGTACTCGCACTTACATATAGTCACTACCTCTACACTAGCAGTCGGCAGCTAGCACTACACGTAGCACTACACTAACAATACAGCTACAGCGTAGCACTAGTGACTACACTAACAACCTAGCACTACACTGACACTGACAGCTGGCAGCGTAGCGGACTAGCACTAGCACTACAGCTACACTGGCACGCTACATCTTACAACTAGCAGCCTACACTACACTCAGCTAACCTACAGGCTACACTAGCAGCATCCAGCTACACTACACTGAGCACATACACCTACACTACACTACAAGCTATGTACACTACACGACACTAGCACTAGGCACTACACTCACAAGCTACAGCACACGCGGTACAGTACACTTAACACCATACGGCGGCTACACGTACCACCTACGCCTATACCCATTA